TCTGAGCCCGCCGCTGGAGGTCTCCCCCCCTCTTCTCCCCCTCTCAGCGACGGCTCCTCCGCCGGATGTCTCACCCCCCCGACCTTCTCCTCCCCACCGCACACAGGCGTCGACAGAGCGTTGGGCGGCTGCGGCGGCGGCGGCGGCGGCGGCGGCCTCTTCAGAGGTGCGGCGCCGCGTAGACCTCGGCGCCTCTGTGCAGCAGCAACGACCCCCGCTCGCAACCACCCCACCCCCCACTTGGCGGCCCTCGAACGGACAGCGGGCCGGCCCCGCCGAGGGCCACGGTGGCCCGGGCGAGGCGGTTTAGTCGCCGCCCGTCCTTTTTATATTACCCAAAAGCGCTACGCCGCCCGTCCTTTGCACGGCCGCCACAGCAGAGGCGTCGGTCCAGCGCAGCCTCCGCGCGCCGAGTGGCGGGCGGCTGCCTAGTCCCTAGACCGCCGGCGCCACAGTCGCGCCCAGCCACTCGTCTAGCACTGCCGCGGCGCGCGACAGCGTCCGACACGCCTCCCTGCTCCTCACATAGGAGACCACCGGGACCGGTGCCGGTCGGTCCCACAACCGGATGGCGGGGGAGGGCGAGGCGGGGAGAGCGGCGGCGATACCAGTGCTGGCCAGCCGCAGCGGCAGGCGGGGGGGCTTGCGCCGGCGGCGGTAGCATTTGGTTGATGCATTGCGTCGCGTCCGTGCCAGTGCATACATTTTGCTTCTCTCGCTCTCCGCGCACTCACCACTCTGGTCTCTGGAGTCAGAGGACTACAGACGACGGGAGACGGGACTCACTTTCGGGAGCTCGCCAGCTCGGCGGCTCTCAAGTGTCAAGAGACAAAGACCACATGCACAACCGCCCACAAGAGAGTCTCAAGACACTAGCTAGAACCAAGTGAGCTGCATGGTGCATGTTTGAGCACTTTGACCATTGTGCGCATTGTCCATTGAGGTTTGAGCCTCTCCGAGGAGCAGAAGATCAACGCGTGATACCTGATACAAATGAACGCGCGTGCGCCCCCCTCCGCCCTCGGTCGGCCACGGCGCCGCGAGGTACGGCTCCTTTCGAAAGCTAGTCGACTACCCGCGGGTCGCCGCTCGCCTCAAACTCGGCGATCAGCTCCTTGTGGAGGTGCCCGGCCGGCTCCCAGGTGTCGTCCTCGTCCTCGTACCCCTTCCAGCGCACCAGGTATTCCGTCTTGCCGCCCTTTGCCTTGCGGCTCGAGAGGATCCGATCCACCACGTACGTGTCCTCGTCCTCTTCCGAGCACGCCTCCTCGTCCTCCTCTTCCGACTCGCTGTCGCTGTCGCCGAACGAGGCCTCCGCCTCAGGGGAGGCGTTGGGTAAAAAGAAAACATCGAGGTTGATTTCTTCGGACGACTACACCTTTACAAATCTCAAGCGACTCCGGAGTCCGGTGCCGGTCGGTCCCACAAGTGGGTACATCAGCGCTGCGTGGTGACCGGCAGGACGCAGGGGCTAGTGCCATTTCACTCTGTCTCTGACACGCTAATCTTGAAAACGTCTCCAAAACGGAGCTCTCCTCGCCCATATTCGACTAGAGTGCTCCTCGACTAGAATGACATATTCGACTAGAATGACATATTCGACTAGAGTGCCCTCCTGGTCACTGCGCCCATACCTCCACCCTCTTGGGCAGCAGCTGGTCCGACAGGTCCTCTCCGTGTCCTAGGCAGCCGTGGCCGCCCTCGCCCCAGGCATAAACAGCGCCATCGCCCGTGCGTGCAAGGTTGCGGTATGCTCCCGCCGACACAGCGACGACGCGCTGCCCAGCAAAGGCCTCGACCTTCTTCGGCAGCAGCTGGTACTGCCGATTGCCGTGGCCCAGCTTGCCATAGTCTCCATCGCCCCAGCTCCAGACACTGCCGTCGGCGGCGAGAGCGAGGCTGTGGCAGGCTCCAGCCGACACAGCGACGACGCGCTGGCCAGCAAGGGCCTCGATCTTCTTTGGCAGCAGCTGGTTCCGTTCGTCGCCGTGGCCCAGCGCGCCCAAGCCTCCCCAGCCCCAACTCCAGACGGCGCCGTCGGCGGTGACGGCGAGGCTGTGGTTCTCTCCCGCCGACACGGCAACGATGCGCCGCCCTGCCAACGTCTCGATCTTTTTCGGCAGCAGCTGCTGCTGCTGGTCGCCGTGGCCCAGCCTACCGAACAATCCACCGCCCCAGCTCCAGGCGCTGCCGTCAGCGGTAATGGCGAGGCTGTGGACGGCTCCAGCCGAGACCGCGACGACGCGTTGGCCAGCCAAGGCCTCGACCTTCTTGGGCTGCAACTGACCCTGCATGTCGCCGTGGCCCAGCTTGCCGTTGCCTCCACTGCCCCAGCTCCAGACAGAGCCGTCGGCGGCGAGGGCCAGGCTGTGCTCCCCTCCCGCCGAGACAGCGACGACGCGCTGCCCAGCAAAGGCCTCGACCTTCATCGGCAGCAGCTGGGTCTGCTGGTCGCCATGGCCCAACTGGCCGTCGGAATCCCAACCCCAGCTCCAAACGGCGCCGCTGCTGGTGAGGGCGAGGCTGTGGAATGCTCCAGCCGACACGCTCACGGCGCGCTCGCCGCCCAGCGGCGAAGGGAGGCGGGTCGGCGTGTTGAGCCGCGCCACGCCCTCGCCGTGCCCGAGGACGCCTGGCGTCCAGCTCTCAGCCTTGCCGCAAGACGAGAGCCGCCCCTCGCCGACGATGAAGAGGCTGTGCTGTCCGCCTGCCGCCGCCCTCGCCGGCGGGTTGGACTCGCACAGCAACGCAGCGAGACACAGCCACCGCACGGCGCAGTCCTCGTCCTCAGGTTGCGCCGGCAGCTCGAAGCCGCGCTCTTGCGCCCACAAGCGGATGGCCTCCGCCGCGAGCGAGGCGTGGAAGAGGCGCGAGACGGCCGCGACGCGAGCGATGTCGACGGGGCTGTCGCAGCGAGCGAGGACGCGCTCGAGGAGGTCCGTGGGGAGGTCGAGGAGGCGGGCGGGCGGCGGCGTGCCTGGCGGGTGTGCGGCGGCAGAGGAGGCGGTGGCGAGGCGGCGCGAGCGGCGGCGCGGAGGGGCAGACATCGCGAGAAAAAGAATGTATGTTGTATATGACAGGACAAAAGACGAGCACTTGAGGCAGAAGAGAACGACGCGACAGAGGAGGAAGTGACAAGGGAGAGACCGACGAGAGTGGGACGGCCGCGAGGTGGCATGAAGGTTGCAGCGAGAAGCGGCGAGAGACTGCGAAAAGAGATACGAAGAGGCAGACTCCCCAGGGTGGGCGACGGCTAGCGCACCACACTCCTCAGGCGGGAGTGGGGAGGGTACGCGGTGCGGTCAACGCCCGAGCGTTGAGCCTTGCGCGCAAGGCGGTTGATCTTTGCAACTGCTGGCGGCGAGAAGCCGCCGCCGAATGTCTCGTGGAGAAGCAGGTTGAACTTGTTTCGTTTGGTGAAGATCCCATCATGGTAGTGGCCACGCTGCGACTTGACGTAGCCTTGGCCGGTGGTGTGGTCGAACACCCGTTGACCACGGAACCCGCGTTGCTTGCAGCCCATGTTGGAGCACTGAAACAAAGAGAAGTATTGCAGCAAGGAGAGGGCGGAGCTGCGCCGAAAGGCGAAAGAAGCCGAGAGAACAAGGGAACGGCAGGCGGCGGCGCAGGACGAGGCAGAAGAGAATGACGCGACAGAGGAGGAAGTGACAAGGGAGAGAACGACGAGAGTGGGACGGCCGCGAGGTGGCATGAAGGTTGCAGCGAGAAGCGGCGAGAGACTGCGAAAAGAGATAGGAATGAATAACGTGACGGGCCCTCAGCGGAGCTGGGAATAGGACCGCCGCGAGCGGCGTGGCGTGGACGGTGGAGCGGTTGAGCATCCCTCCGGGGGCCCCTCTGCGCCGGGGAGGCGTTGTTGGAGGCTAGGACGCAAGCGTCCGTCGCCCTTTCATGGGGTTCTGTGATGCAGATATTCTGCGAGAAAAAACTTTAATTCGCGCTCGCAGCAAGCCCACCGTGGTGGTGGAGGGATGCACAAACGTCCGCGCGCCCACCGGCCCGATCTCGGCATCTCGCCGCCGGCAAAGAAGCCCGCCTACCGCCGCCGGGCCCGAGGGCGCGTGTGGCCGAGGTGCAACCGAGATCTCGCTGGACGGGGGGGCGCGTGGTCCGCCAGCGCGAGCGACCCCATCGACTGCTGGAGCACCGCGCTCTACACGCCCTCTCCTGCTCCTCGCCGCCCAACGCACGGCACCTGACCAAGACCAGCAACGGAGACGCGAGGGTTGCCCCCCCTTGCCCCACCACCTCGTGTGTGTGGAGAAGTTTACCTTACCTTACCTAGCCTACCCAAGGTCTCTCCCCTCCCTCCCCCCCTCACGGAACGCCCAGCGAGGCGGCACGCGCGCGGGCATGCCCCATGCATCCGATGGGATGCCCACCGGGACACGGGCACAGGGCTCAAAGGGCCTCCCCGCGCGGGTCGGGCAGGCGCGTGGCGCGCTCGGCGAAGCGTCAGCTTCGGTCCATCGCCAACGGGGCCTCAATCCCGCTGCACTCGAAGCCGCTGGCAATGTCAGGACGAAGGACCAGCTGCGACCGTGCCGTCTCGTCGTCGAGCAGGAAGAGCCGCAGCCACGCGAGTGCCACTCCGCCGATGGCGCCGCGCGGCGCGCGGTCTGCAGCGTGGCCGGTTGGTCCATTTAGCGTAGCGCACGGACACGGCGTGCACCAAAGCGCAAGTGGGCACTGGCACATCCAGCAGGCGCAAATGGTCGAGCAGTTGACGCACCATAGTTCCATGCTCATTGACCCTGCCTCCGCCTGGTGCTTGGTACCACCCGCTGGGCCGAGTGGGGTGTAGTGATCCCCGCCCTCGACTTCGAAGATCAGCTTGGCAGCGCCCGTCTGACGATAGTGCGGCCATCCGAACTTCTTGGGCGGCGCCTCCTCATCGTTGTCGCCACAAAGTATGAGAACGGGCACAGCGGTCGGCGGCGGACTTGGAAACGAAAGCGAGTGCTTCGAAGGAAACATGTAGCCGCCATCCGGAGCGAGCGCGATGACGCACTTGAGAGTCGGATCAGCCAGGGCCGCCAGCTGTGCGCCGCCGCCGCCCAAGGAGTAGCCCTGGACGGCGCGCCGTGAGATGTCGAGGCGCCCTCGCAGAACGGAGTCAGCACGCTCGTGCTCACCCTGCAACGCCAGGCTCGCGTCGAGGAGCGCCTTGCTACGAACGGCTGGCGAGTCCGTGAACGGCGAAGGCGTGCCGATGGTCATCGCCACGATGCCGTGTGAGGCGTAAAAAGGAGCCCAGGCCGCCATCGCCTGCTCACCACATCCCCAGCCGCCGACAATCACGACGGAAGGCAACGACTTCAGCCCGGATTCCGTGGGGTAGTAGATCGTCGCAGAGGCGAAGCTCGCGTTGCAGAGGTGCTGAGCATCCTGCTTGCCGGTTGCGTGCGGACCCAGTGCGCAGGAGTCGGGGCCGAGGGCGCTCATGGGCGGCGAACGAGGAGGTGCCCGCAGAGCTCCTGACCGGCCCGCGTTCTTGGGCGAGGAGCTCTGACCCACCGGACACCCACCGGACAGCTAACGTGAAGAGCACCGAAGGACGCCTTTCCCAGCGCCGACTTTGTGGGGTAAGTGGGGCGGGACAATTCACAGCTCGCGCAACAACTTAGAGCCAGTTTTTGCCACTTCGGTTAGCTCTTGTGGGTCCGATATCGAGACCCAAATATCTCCCGCCGCCTCGCCGCTCGCTCGCTCGCTCGCCCGCTCGCGCCTGGCTTTCTACTCCCTCGTGATCGCCCGAATCTCTCCTTCCTCGTGATCCACCCTCGCCTCACCCTCCCGCCGCCTCGCTGCTCGCTCGCCGCTTGCTCGCCCGCCCGACTTTCTACTTCCTCGTGATCCGAACCGCCACCACCCTCGCCTCACCCTCCCGCCGCCTCGCCGCTCTCGCTCGCCGTTCGCTCGCCCGCTCCCGACTTTCTACTTCCTCGTGATCCATCTCGCCGTTCGCTAGATTACCCGGCAACGATGTTTTCCTGCTCAGCAGCAATTTCATCAAAAAACTGAGAACCAGTTTACCCAGTCTCCCACAATTCACGTTTCAGCTTACCCGGCCGCTAACTGTTCTCATGTCAGATTACCCGGTCGGCCAAATTTCTCGTCCAGATTACCCGGCGGCTAACTTTTCTCTTTGAGATTACCCGGGCGCGCAAATTTCTCGTTTCAGCTTACCCGGACGCGAGCGTGCACCTCGTCCAGAGTGCGGAGAGCGAGCACCTGCGGCACTTGGTCCTAAGGGGTCCCGTACCATGCGGAATCGACCCTATCCGGTGCTCAAGTGCTCAAGGAGAGCTCCCACTGACTCGGAATCCCCGGCCTCGTTTGCTTGAATGACGCAGTCGTGAATCCCAAACGGTTTCAGATTACCCGGCGCATCCCACTACCGGGTGATCTGGAAAAAGAAATTCCACCTGCCGGGTAACCTGGAAACGACATTTCGCCGTGTTGGGTAACCTGGAAACGACATTTCGCCGTGTTGGGTAATCTGGAAACGACATTTTGCCGCACCGGGTGATCTGAAACCGCTCACGCCGGGTGATCTGGAAAACGCCGGGTGATCTGCGAGGCGAAGCTCAAAACCGGGTGATCTGGAAAAAGAAATTTCGTGACCGGGTAACCTGGAAACGACATTTCGCCGTGTTGGGTAATCTGGAAACGACATTTCGCCGTGTTGGGTGATCTGCGAGGCAAAAACTCGCAGACGCCGGGTGATCTGAAAAACGCCGGGTGATCTGCGAGGCGAATCTCAAAAACCGGGTAATCTGAAATTTATCCTTTCAAGATTAGAGACCCCTGGAGAGCTAACGAAGTGGCAAAAACAGGCTCTTATGTTTTCCTAAACGTAGTCGTGGCCCCCCGCTACGTCGCACGAGGGCGACTGGGTAGCGGGGGGCTAAAAACCCGAAGAGAGGAGTGGGAAAACCGCTTCCGCTCGCGCGGGCGGAGACGGCGCGTTTAGCCGCGAACGGGGCCATGCCAGACGAGTCGCCTGCGGTTGGGACGCCAGCCGAGACGGGTTCGGCGGGCGCTGGGAGCCTATTCACAGAGGGCTCAACGGGTATTTTTCGCTTCGTTCGCAGCGCGGCCTGGGAATAGGTAGGTAGGTGGGGCACGGAGCCTGGCGGTTGGCGCCCGCAATAGGTAGGTAGGTAGGGCGTTTTGGCGCGAGTCAGTGGGCACAGACCCCCTATCCGGGTTGGAGCCGGAACCCAGTGATGGGTATCCGTGGGTCGGGGGTCGCGTCCTTTGTACGTTTGTAGGATGCGCGACGGCACCCTTAATCAGTGAGCCTCATGAGCGGCGCGGGAACGCCAGCGGAGAAGCCGGCCAGCGAGACGACGGTCGAAGTCGCGTGCTATGCGTCGATGCCGCAGTTCGACAGCTCCATCCTCGACACCTTCATCCCGCGCTGCCGCAGGCTCACACAATTGCATTTCGGCCGCATAGTCTCCAACCCGGACGCGCCACAGGCCTTTTCCGAGAATGTCGGTTTCAACATGTGCGCGCAATCCCCACACAAGCTGCTATCTGCCACTCGTCCACCACCACACTGACTTGCAGGACGTACAACCTGGTCGAGCCGGGCAAAGGCAACGCGCTCCACACGCACCCTTCCGTCGAGATTTTCATCGCCCTTGATGGGAAGTGGGAGATTGCTTGGGGGGGGAGGGGGGAGCATACGACGGTGCTGCAGCCGTGGGACATGATTGCTGTGCCGGCTCACGTTCGCCACTCGTACAAGAATGTGGAGGAGAAGACCGCGAATCACATCATGACAATCCTCTGTGGGGACGCATCCATCACGTGGGGCCCCGATGTCGTCGCGGAGGCACGCAATCACGGCGTGCGTTGCACGCGGAGGTGCTGCTTCACGTGTGCCTACCGCCTGCCAAGCCCAGAACATTTGACGCCCGCTGCTCGCGTAGGGGGGAGCTTCTCGGTTTCTGGAGTGGCGAAGAGCTGCAGGAAGAGGCTGGGGCTGAGACGGAGGAGGATGAACCGGACGCGTACCACCGACCGATGAGCAATCCTGAGATGGCGCGGCACGTCCGCCGATTCCGCGACGGGCAGTCGCTCTCGGTGCAGGCAAAGGGCTCGTTCGTCAACGTGAGCAGTAGAGATAAAAGACCGCAGCATCGCGTGCAGCTGCGCACCGACCCTGCCTCGAGCCTCGCTTTGGCAGGTCTCCTGGCGTGCACTGGCTCAAGGCGAGACGCTGGCGATTCACTGCAGTCCCCGCGCGGTCGATGTGCTCCTGGTGGTGCTCGAGGGTTCCCTCTTGCTGACGCGTCAGGGTGGCGAGCTCGTGGCCGTCACATCGCAGCTCGACTCGGTGCGCGTGTCTGCGGCCGAGGCACAAGGCATCCTGGCGTGCAACCAGCTTCGCACGCCGTGCACGATGCTCGTCGTCGAGTCGCAGATGCGGGCGATCGCCGGCCGCCAGTGCGGCGAATGGCTCGTTGCAGGCGTTTCCCCGACGTCGACGATGGATGCGCTGCCGTCGCTCCCTCGCCCTCTTCCCTAGTCATTTGGAGCCGGATCGAGGCACCATGCAGCGGATCGATGGGTGGCGAGTGCTTCGCGCCCGTCGAGGAGGCGTGGCGAGCCATCGGGGCGCGGGGAGGGCGGAAGGAGCGCCGGATAGCTTCGGCGACGTTCACGTGCCGTTCGTACCCAAAAATGGCCGCTGGGGCGCGCGTCTCGTGTCAGCTGTCACTTTACTGTCTACTGTGATCTGTGTACTGAGAGTTCCACACAGCGGTCGCGGTCCGCAGGGCTGTTGTGAGACTGCTGAGTGTTCTGTGTTGTCTGAAAACCTTGTCACTGACAATGTGGTACGTAAAGCCATGAGGAGAGATCGGACCGCTACATATCGGGGCGGCGCCACGAGACTTTCCTGAGACGTGCGAGCACGCGACGCCGCCCCCCCCACAACTGTGTGATGGGTGAAGTGTGCGGTGGAGCTCGCTCTAGAAAAGGCCCGACTCACTCACAGCTCGGTGCTTCGCCCTAGAGGAAGCGCCAGAGGGGATGGTGGCTCATGGCAGCCCGAGCGGGTTGGCCTTCGGGAGGCCGTCCGAGAGCAGCGCCGCGCTCTCCGCTGCGTCGCCGCCCTCGATGCCGCCAGCGGCGGTGGCCGGCTCATAGGTCCGCGTCTTGCCGCGCTTGTTGCGCAGCAGCACGCGGCCCTCGCCTGGAGGCGCGACGCGACTAGCGAGGTCAGGCCCTGTGGCCTCGGCGGCGGGCGGCGGCATGCCCGCAGACAGGGGTGGCCAGTGTGTGCGGGGAGTGGCGACGGAAGGGCGAGGGAGGGGTGGTGGGGGGCGGGAGGAGCAGGGAAGGCGAGGCGACGCGCCGTCCGAGTCGAGTCCGAGCGACTCGCCCTCCCCCACGAAGCCGTCCAGCGATGCCTCGGCGACGGCATCCTCACACAACGCCTGCACGGCGCGCCGCAGCGGGCGCGCGCCGTACGCGGGCGAGTACCCGCGCTCGACGATGGCGTCCGAGAGGGCGGGCGAGAGGTCGAGCGAGATTTGCATCTCGTCGGCGCAGCGGCGCTGCAGCTGCGCCAGGTAGAGCTGCGCCACCTGCCGGAGAGGGGGGTGGT